GTGCGTGTGCGTGTGCGTGTGCGTGTGCGTGTGCGTGTGCGTGTGCGCGTGCGTGTGCGTGAGCGTGTGCGTGTGTGTGCGCGTGCGCGTGCGCGTGCGCGTGCGCGTGCGCGCGCGCGCGTGTGCGTGTGTGTGTGCGTGTGTGTGTGTGTGCGTGTGTGTGTGCGTGTCGGCATACATACGGCCGTATCCTGGTGTTCAGCGATTACTTCTCTGTTGTTCGAGCTTTTCGCCGTCCGCGGGCCTCGTTGGCCAAGTCCGATGTGTTAGACCTCTGGGCTCGCCTGTGGGATTCCTTGATGCGCGAGAGGGTGAAGTCGATCTCAGGCGGAGCAAGAGTCACCCCACAGGCTCCCAGGTCAGCGCTCTCGGTCTCACGTTGATTGAGCGGCTCCTGAATGGAGCTGCCGACGCCGATGCTGGGGAAATGGCCCGTCGCGCGGCCCGACTCGGCGGCCATCGCTTTTGCACAGGACCAGCTGAACAGATACACTCTTCGGAGACTCCTGGCCATCCAGCGTGAAGTTGTTACGCAATGTCCTCGCGAGCGCACCTCGCACGCGCGCGTTGGGCATGGGCATGTGCGCGCGCGTGCGAGTGCGAGCAGTGCACAGATCAGGCTAGAGCGTCTCTACGAGCAGGGACACTCCCCTGTCGAGCGGAGGACTTTTTCAAGTGTAATATCTGTTCCCCCCGTTGCAGCAAGAAGGGGCCCTTGTCGTGTTCTGGCCTGGCTCCTGCTGCACTGGACGTTGTTCCCAGTATCGCGTGCCTCGTGAGGATGATGACCCAGCGTTTGATATCCCTGGGGCCGCTGGTTCTGAGGCCGCTGGGCGCCCAATGGCCAAGGTGTGCCATGAGGCCCACTCCCTTTCGGAGTTGAACGGTGCGCTGTGTTGTAGTGTGCGTGTGTGTGCGTGTGCCAGTTTTGCGGTTTGCAGCGCCCGAAATTTGAAAAAGCGAACGTCGGCCTCCGACCAAGAAAAGTCGTGAGGCACTGGACCGATTGGGAAGAGGGCTCCCGCCCAAGTCGGGAATGGCCTTCCCTCGGCGCGCATGGCGGGGCGGCCAGGCTAGCACCTGGGCACCGCGCTTCCGCCATAGCGCCATGGCTCCTCCATTCCTCTTCCTGATAGATCACTCCTCCTGTCGGACCCCCAGACGTGTGGGACGGACGGGCCAGGCGGTTCGCCTGAGACTCCCCCGCCATCCATGATCCTGAGGCTCGAAATGTGCAACAGTTCCACGGGTGGAGGGCGGGGTTCTTTCAAAATGCGGCCCTCGCCTTCGAGCCGCAAACGGTCGTCTAAAAAGTTCGCAACAGCTTCACGGATGGAGGGCGGTTCCTTTTCACAATGTGACTCTCGCCCTAGCGCCGCGCATTCGTTCAAAAAACTCCCAACGGGTTTCAAGGATTCACGCGGTCGAAGTCCCAGACACTGCGTTCTGGCACGATTGAGGAATGTCAGGACCTAATAGTCACGTTGATCTGCGGTGTTGAAGTCCCAGAGATAGCGTTCTGTTGCGATTTCGGATTGTCAGGACGCAGCAGTCACGTTGATCCTCGGCGTTGAAGTCCGAAGAACTGCGCTCTGGCACAAGTGATGATTCTCAGACGGGAGACTTCTAATGGGACGCTTCCCGTAATGAAAACACACCCCTTCAGGGACCCACGACAATACAACTTAGAGAAAGGGTGTTGTTGCTGCGCCCTCGGGTTTGCACAGGTCCTTCTCATCCTGCTTCTCCTCCTCCTCCTCCTCCTTCTCCTCCTCCTCCTTCTCCTCCGGCTCCTCCTCCTCCACCTCCTCCTTTCTGGGGCGTTCGCCCCACCCCCCAGCTGGGGTTTGGCGTGACCCATTCCTCCGCCCCGGAATGTTCATTGTCGTTCGTCTGTCGTCGTTGTCGCGTGCTCGCTTCGTCTGTCGCCTTCGCGTCGGGTCCTTAAGCCAGGTTCGAGCCCTGGCAGTCTGGCAGTTGGGTCTGGCCAGCGGCTGGGCGTTCAGGTCCTCGCCGCCTCGCCGCCCCCCCCCCTTCCATCTGGGAGGGTTGCGGCACGGCCCAGGAGCTATGCATTTTGCGGTAAACGCCATGCGGTGCAAACTATGCGGTGCATGGTACATGGAGGAAGAAACGTGGTGGAAGCTCAAGCTACATGGAAACCGCGTGGTGAAAGTTGTGTGGCGCAAGCTATGCGGTTCAAGATGTGCGGTGCAAGTTGCGTGGCACTGTGGCCCGGGGTGCGCGGCGCAAGCTGTGGCACAACCAGTGCGATGCAACATGCGCAGTGCAAGGTGCGAGCTACGCGTTGGCGCACAAGGCGCCCGGGGCGGCCACGAGGCGTCAGCAGGCGGCCACAGCTGGCCACCGGCGGGCGCGAGGCGACGCCCGGGAAGGACCGCCCAACGCACGGGGCGAGCACGAGGCGACCACAGGCGGCCGTCAACCTTTTTTCTTTTTTTATTTGTTTTTTCTGGTTTTACTGTTTTTTCAGGCGGCCGCCAAACTGGCACGAAGTGAAACCGTAGCACACCCGCCCAGCGCACGGGCCGGCCACGAGGCGAGGCGGCCACCGACGGCCACCAACCAGGCACCAGGCGAAACCGCAGCACACCCACGCAATTCCGAACCGAGAGAAGCGAGAACCCAAGTGCCAGCACGGCCAGGAGGGGACAATGGGACTCGCCGCGTCTGTCAGGGCTTTTCGGGGCGCACTAACTCATGGGATGTACTTCCAGACCGGCCTTCCAGATGCGCCCGCACTGCGTCGCTGGGCCGGGCCATCCTCCAAGCGTCTAGAGGAGAGCTGCTCTGCCAGTATACAATTGGCCCGCTCCGTTGCCACATTGATACGTGAATGCGCGTGCGCGTATATGTTTGCATGTGCGTGCGCGCGTGTGCATTGCACGGTTTGGCCTCCCCTGCGAAGAGAATGCTGGAATCCTGCGTTCTACAATCGGACCAGGCACGGCACGGTGCGGGACGACACGGCACGGCAACTGTGTCGCATCTTGAAAACAAGGCGCGTCACCGAACGGCACGACATCGACAACCAGGCACGGCACGGCGACTTTTCGCATGTTGAAAACCAGGCACGGCACGGCATGCAACTGCTTGCGCTCTACCAGCTGCCCCGCTCTCAACACTCAACACGGCACAGAACGGTGCTGCACGCGAGCACGGCACGAGCACGGCAACGCACGCGGGCTGCACCACTTGCGCCCTCCAGAAGCCAGGCACGGCACAGAACGGCCCGACACGGCGCGGCACGACAGGCGGCGGCCACTGCTTCGCGTTCCAAAAACCAGGCACGGCACGGGCGGGCGCGGACACGGCACGGCACGCTGGCACGGCACAGCACGCTGCCAACGACTGCGGACGGCAGCCCCCTGGCAGCAGCAGCAGCAGCAGCAAAAGCAGCAGCAAAAGCAGCAGCAGCGGCAGCCAGCAGGGCCCTCCGCCACCCCAGACGGCCATTCCAGCCGTCTGGCCGCCAGCCCTCCAGCCCCTTCCGAAGGAGGGGGCTGGCGCCAGCTGCAGCCCGTGCCCACCAGGGGAAGAGCCCGCTTCCCACGGTAGGACTCCCCTGGGGCCAGTTTCCCCATCGGGGTTCGCGCGGCTCCGCCGCGGGCCCCGGTGGCGCCCCGGCTTGCGCAGCAAGCCCACCGGAGCAACGCGACAACATTTTCGACAACAAGAGGCAGTACGACCCCCAAAAGTGGCGCCACAAGCAGCAGCACAACGACGACGACGACCGAGAGATGGCGCGGGCGGGGGTCGGCGAGGGCGCGCCGCTCGTGACCAGAGCGCACTTTCGCCACGTGCGCCGCGAGAGCAGGCAGCACCGCAGCGACCAGAGCGACAGCAGCCAGCACCCAACTGCGGCCACAGGCGGAGGAAAACTACGACGGCGACCAAGACAGCAACGAGCAGCACCACGACGGCGACCAGCAGCACCAGCAGCACCGCCACAGCCGCGACGGCGAAAAACAACGGCAGCAGCACCACCGCCACGACAGCCACCAGCAGCACCACCGGCACCACGAGCACCACCCAGCGCTGCACTGACCCAGACTCCCGGATTGACTTCGAGATCTCAGGAAGAACGTATTCTTGGAGGGACTCTGAAGTCTCAGGGGGAGGTTAAGGGAGGAGCGCGCGAGGGCAGGCAGTCCCGCGGCGACCAGAGCGACGGCAGCCAGCACACAGCCACGGCAGACGACGAGAGCGACCACCACGACAGCGACCAGCAGCAACACCAACGCCACCGCCACGACAGCGCCCAACAGCAACACCACGACAGCGACCGGCAGCGCCGCCACCAGCACCAGCACCAGCAGTGACACTGGCAGCACCACCTGTACCACGACAGGAGCTGCGCACACCAGGGAAGGACCAGCGAGACGCGCTGCACGGCTACCGCGGACAGCGCGCGGGTGAGGCGAGCCACCCAGGGCCACCGCACAACGACGCTGCCCCAGCCACGCCGCCGCGCGGACGCTCGCAAGCGGACCTGCCCGAGCCAGCGGGCTAGGTTTCGGGCGAATCCGCACCCCGGCCGGCGGAGGCCGAGACTCCCCCTCGAGAGCTCTTCGGTTCGCCGGGCCGATCTCTGTCGCCGCTTCCTGCCGGACAGAGCCACTTTAGCGCCGTGTTCAGACAGGCGCCTGCGGCCGGATGAAACTTCTCTGGGCTGTTCGCGCCGCCGCGGGAGACAGCCGAACGCGCGGCGGCCGAGGCGCAGCAACAGCCGCAGCAACCACAGCAGGGGCCGGACCCCCAGGAGCCGGAGCAGCCAGAGGCCAGCGAGGTTTGCTACATGCGCCAGGAGCCGCTCGACGACTCGAGGGTGCAATGGCCCGACTGCGGCCGCGTCCCGCACTGCTTCCACGCGGCCTGCCTGGCCCGGTTTCGCCCTCTCTGCCGCGGACTCGCACACCTGCGGAACTCGGGCGGCGATTCCAGCCGGGTAGAGGACGCAGCGTGCCCACTCTGCAACCACAGGTGGGGCGACGGCCCGAACTCTGCCGCGCGGCTCGGAGCTGGCGGGCCACCTTGGGCGCGGCGGGGGGCTCCCTTTCCGAGGATGCCGCTGCCTGCCTTGCCGGGGAGTCGCAGGCGACCCAAGTTCCGACGAGGAGCGGGCCAACCGGCACCGAGGGGGGCCCCTCGTGCTGCCGGAGGGGCCGGCACCGCACGCGATCGCCATGTGCCCGCGCCACCCGGAGCGACCCTTGCGATGGCGGCACTCGCGCGGGCCAGATGGGCTGACGGGCAGCTGGGAATGCGCCGCCTGCGATGTCGCCCCGCTCGGTAGCGAGGTCCCGCCGCCGCTGGGCGAGAGGCCGCCGCAGTGCCAGGGCAAGTCGAGTGGGTCGCCCGGGCCAGCGGGGACGCCGGAGGGCCTTGGAGGCGGCAGGGAGACTGGCACTGCGAAAGCTGCGCCGCCACAGCGCTGCCCGAGCCAGAGGCCGCACAGCCGGAACGGCCGCCAGAGCCAGGAGCAGGAGGCGGGAGCCGGGACCCACAGTTCAGCGGCTGGCCGCCTCCACGACACGCTGCAGAGACCAGCTGCTACCTTAACTCCTGGGTGTATGTGCCGCTCCTCCTGGACGCCGCGGGCCAGCTTGACGGGCAGGAAGCCGCCGCGTGGCGACAGCACCCTGCCACAGCACACTGTTGGGAGAACGCCGCGGCGTTCCTCCGAGAGCGGCCGCCCGCCGACGTGTCCGCCTTCCGCGCGGCGAGCCCCCCGCTGCCGCAGGCTCTCGGAGACGGGCTGCACGGGGACCAACTGGGGCTGCCAGCGGTGGTAGGGCCCCTTGCCGACGACAGAGGATACGCGCAGCCGATCGCCCAGGACATCGCGATGCAGATCTTCGGGGGGGGGACGGGGGGACTTCATCCGCGCTGCGGAGGTGCGGGCTGACGCCTACAGGGCATGGCTTGCGCGCGGGCTGCCTCCACGACCCGCCCCGGCAGCAGGGCCTGGATCCAGAGCGCTGGGCCCGCCAGACGCGCGTGGAAGAGGCGCCGAGGAGGAGCCGCAGCCAGCGCCCGCAGCGGTGGAGGGAGAGGGGGGCGCCGCACCAGGCAGAGGAGGGAGAGGCGCAAGAGGAGGCAGAGGACGAAAAGGCGCTGGAGGAGGCAGAGGGGGCAGAGGCGCCCGAGGAGGCAGAGGGCGAGCAGGCGGCAGAGGAGACCCGAGCAGCGACGACGACGACGACGACGACGAGAGCAGCGAGGAAGAGGGCAGCCACAGCCAGAGCGACAGCGCCTCCGACAGCGCTGGCCCCGCGCCGCCTGCGCCAGCGCCGCCGCCTGCGCCAGCGCCGCCGCGCAGTATCGGAGGCGGGCGACGAAACCGGCCCCCGGCGCAGTCTGCCTTCCCCGACGCCGCCTGGGCGCTTCTTGACGCAGTGGACTCGGAGGCCGAACCGCGCCGGCGGGTGCCGTGCATCCGGGCGCCGCCAGCTTTCCTCCGCGGCCGCCTTCGCCAACTCTACCACACGGTCCTCGAGGAGGTCCTGCGCGCAGACGCCCTTCCTGGCGACGCCGACGGGCTGCAGAAGGTGAGGGCTTGGAAGCTCCTGGTTCTCATCTGGCGCATGCTGCTGCGACGGACCGCGAGCACTGGGGCGCCAGGGCGGCGAGAGCTCGAAGCGCGACTGGAGCAGTTCGAGGGCGGCTCCTGGGAAGCGCTGCTGGCCCCAAGCCTGCAATGGCAGCGGCCTCCGGGAGGAGCGCGCGGCGCGGGCAACGCCGAGGCGAGGCGCCAGCGCCTCCTGGAAGACGCGGTGGCGCTGGTCAGAGCAGGAGGCCTCAGCAAGGCGCGGCAGCTGCTCGCCTCGCGCGGGCTGGCGCCGGGCACGGCGGAGACTTTGGCAGAACTGCGGGGCCCCGCCCGGCGACCGCCGAGGCCCGCCGCCGACTTGCCGCCTGCCGCCCGAGCCTTCCAGCTGGCTCGGCCAGTCGAGCTCGACCGCCGCATCTGGACCGACTGCGTCCGCTCCGCCCCGAAAGGGTCTTCCTCCAGCTCGCTGAGCGGAGCCAGCTTTGAATTGCTCAAGCTGGCCTTGGACGAAGACGAGACGCTAGAGCTGCAAGCTGCCGTGGCGGAGCGCTACGCGCGGGCCGAGATCCCAGCGAGCGTTGCCCGCGCCCTGGGCACAGGCCGCACGACGGCGCTGCTGAAGGACAACGGCCGCGCGCGAGGCATCGTTGCAGACGACGCCTTCCGCCGGCTCGTGGGCAAGGCCCTCTCCGGCAGTATGGGTCCGAGATGGACGACGCCTGCGCGCCGTTCCAGCACGCGCTTTCGACGAGAGCGGGCACCGACAGCGCTGCCCACTTCCTCCGAGCGGCCACGGACTCCGACCCCGCGGCGACCATCGTCAGCATCGACGGCATTGGGGCCTTCGACCACGTGCGCCGCCTCTCGCTTCCAGAGGCCTCCGCCATGGTCCCATTCGTCCTGCTCTCCTACGGCCAGCCGTCGACGTACCTCTGGACAGACGATGCAGGAGTCGCGCACGAGGTGAGGCAGGGAGAAGGCGGAGAGCAAGGCGGCCCGCTCATGCCGGCGCTGTACCCCCTGGCTCAGCATGGCGCCCTGGAGAGAGCCCGCGCGCAGCTTCAGCCGGGCGAGACGCTGATCGCCTACCTGGACGACGTCTACATTGTCTGCAGACCATGAGGCGCTACACGACCTCCTCGACCTCGACCCCGCGCCAGCTGAAGCAGAGAGGCTCTTCCAAGTGAGCTCGCTGCCGCTCGGCCTCGGAGGCCTTGGACTCAGGTCAGCCGCGCGCGCGGCCGAGTGCGCGTACTGGGCGTCTTGGGCGGACGCGCTCCCCATGTTGCGACAAAGAAACCCTACAGCAGCAACGAAGCTCACCGCCGCCCTCCGCGCCGGGACGGGCGCCGCAGCCTCGTGCCTCCAGGAAGCTGGGCGCGCGAGGGCTGCCGCCGCCCGCGACGGCTTTGCGACGTGCCCAACTTGGCAGGAGGTCTGGGACGGCGCGCGCCCTGAACAGACAGAGCCAGAGCCGGGCGAGTGGAAGCACGGATGGCAGCACCACGCCTCAGCAGCCCGAGAGCGGCGCTACAGGGAGGAGGTCGTTCTCCCGAGCCCCACAGACGACCAGCAGTGGATGCTCGACTCGCAGGGAGGCCGCTGCGGCGGACGGCGCCTGGCCCTGACCCCCTCGACGCCAGAAAGCACGTTCACGCCAGAGCGCTTCCTGGCACTGCTCCAGAGACGGCTCCGCTTGCCGCTGGACGCCACGGCAATCAGGTGCAACGAGCGCTCCTGCCAGGCCCACTTGGACGAGAGAGGCGACCACTTAGCAGCTTGCCCCCGCTGCGGACGCCTGCTGAAGCGCGGCGCTCCCATCGAGCGGATGTGGGCCCGGGTGTACCGGGAGGCAGGAGGCCGTGTCCGCACCGACGTGTTCCTGCGCGACATGAACCTCCCCGGCATTGCCGCCAACGACGGGCGCCGCATCGAGGTGGTGGCCAACGGCCTCCCTGCCTACCACGGCAGGCAGCTCGCCATCGACGCCTGCATCGTCTCCCCGCTGAGGGCCACCGGCAGGCCGATGGCTCAAGTGGGCTCGCGGGCTCGCGGGCTCGCGGGCTCGCGCGCGCGCCGGGGGGGCCGGGCCTGCGCGCGATGGCGCCCTCGCCCGGGCCCGCGGGCAGGAGCTTGCACGCCGACCTGCCGCGCAGCCGCTCGGGGGGAGCAGAGGCGGCGCAGCAGGAGGGGAGGCGACGCGCAGGCGGAGCCAGCAGCACGGCCGCGCCAGAGGCCGAGGACGGGCCAGAAAAAGCCGCCAAACTGACCGGGCGCTCGCGCAGGGCGGGGGCGGCGGGCCGGCCCGCGGCGCCCGCCGGGAGGGCCCCGTTGCCGGGGCGACGAAGAGGAGGAAGAGGCGGCAGAGGCGGAGAAGGAGGCGGCAGCGGCAAAGGAGAAGCACCGCCGCCGCCGCGACGGCGCCCCGCAACGCCGCCACAACAACGGCAACCGCCAGCACCACCGCGACGGCGACCAGCAGCACCAGCAGCAGCACCACCGCCAAGACGAAGACGAGCACAAGCGACAGCACCGCAACCAGCGGCGGGGCAACGACGGCGAGCACCAGCAACAGCAGCACCAGCACCAGCACCAGCACCAGCAACACGACTACGACAGCACCGGCGCCACGACGCGACGGCCCGACCCCGGCAGACATGACCCCCCTGGGGGTGGACACCGCCAGGGTCCAACCAGGAAGACCCTGTCCACGAAGGATCTGGGGACCCCCTTGGGGGCTTCCTGGACAAGCGGCGCGGGGCCGCCGCCGCCGCCCGACCCGGGTCCGCCGCCTGGCCTCTGGACGCTGGTGCGGCGAGGGCCCCCGAGGCGACCACTCCTACGGCTACCGCGGACAACGAGTCGGCGAAGCCAGCCACCCAGGCCCCCCCGGGCCAGCCGACGAGCCGCCGGGCACGCCGGAACGCAGATCGGGAGAGTCTGCCCCGGTACCAGCGCTCGCGGAGACGCCGCCGCACATGCTGTCGGCGCCGGAAAGGTTTGCCACGCCAGACTCGCGGGCGGGCGCGCGGTCGGCCTCACCACCGCCACCGCCACCGCAGCTGAACCACTTCGCCAGCATTTTCGGCGCCTGGCCGGCAGCGCCCCCTGAACCAGAGGGAAGGCGGTGGGACTTCTCGGGCCTCTCCCTGCCGCCAGCAAAACGCGAGGCGGCCGAGGAGCAGCGACAGCCACCGCAGCAACAGCAGGGGCCAGACCGGCCAGACAGGGAGGAGTGCGCCATCTGCCAGACGCCGCTCGAAGGGGACACCGTGACGTGGCCAGCTTGCGGCCATGTCCCCCACCGCTTCCACGCAGCGCGCGCAGCGAGGCATCGGCCGACACGGGCGGGCCTGGCCCACTTGTACCACACAGGTGACGCACCCCGTGCCGAAAGGTCGCCATGCCCCCTTTGCAACAGCCCGTGGGGGGACTCGCCGGGTGGCGTGGCGGCGCTCGCGGGGTTCGTGGACTCCCTGAACGCTTCTGGAGACTACCCCACCCGAGGGTGCAGGTGCTCACGCTGCCGAGCCGCGGCCGGCCCGCCAAGTGAGGAGGAGGCGGACCCTTACGCAGGAGGACCCCTTGAACAGCCAGGAGAGCCCGCGCCGCACGCCATCGCAGTTTGCCCGCGACATTTCCAACCCCTGCGGTGGCGGCACTCTCGCGGGCCCAGCGGGCTGGCGGGCAGCTGGGAATGCCGCGCCTGCGACGTGGCCCCCCTGGGTAGCGACGTCTCGCCGCCGCAGGGCGCGAGACCGCCGCGCTGCCCCTGCGGACGGCCAGGGCCAATCGAGTGGGTCGCCAGGGCCGCCAGGGCCACAGGAGGGTCGTGGAGATGGCACGGGGCCTGGCTCTGCGAGGGCTGCGCCGCCACGCCGCTTCTGGAGCCAGCGGTCGCTGCCCCTGCGTCGCCGCCCGCGACAACAGCAGACGCAGGAGATCCTCGACTGGCGCGCCCCGAGCAGGCGCCCACCGCCGCAGAGCAACGGCAGCCTGGCCGCTTCGCCGGGTGGCCTCCCCTGGCGGGCCCACTACGAGAACGAACCAACTCACGCGTGTACGTGCCCTTGCTGTTAGCAGCGGCGGGGCTGCTTGACCAGCAGGAGGCGGCGGGATGGAGCACGCACCCGCTCACGCACGACTGGTGGCAGCCGACAGCGGAGGCCTTGCAGCAAGCGGACCCCATGCCAGCCGAGACCTTCGCCCAAGGGCTGGAGCTCGCAGGGGATAGCCCAGGGACGATATATGCCGTGATCGCCGCTGGGGGCGGAGCACGCCCTGGACACGTGCACCTGCCGCCTGTGGTCAGAGCCCTGGCGGACAGCGCTGGCTACATCGACAACCTCGCCCAGGACCTCTTGCTCGAGCTCTTCGGGGGGGTCGTGCTGGCGCGGGGGGTCGACCGGCGCGCAGACGAGCTCCGCGACCCGGCCAGGTGGGCCGCAGCCGCGCCGCGCCCGCCGAGGCCGCCACCAGCGGCGCCAGCAGGACCTCAGCCCAGCGACGACGCCAGCGGAGGGAGCCCAGGAGAAGGCAGAGGCCGAGGAGGCAGAGGAGGAAGAGGCGCCACAGGAAGCACAGGGCGAGGCGCTAGAGGGGGCCGGAGAGGAAGAGGCACCAGAGGAGGGGGAGGAGGGGGAGGAGGCAGCTCGAGCAGCAGCACCGCCAGCGAGAGCGAGGAGGACACTGAGGACAGCGCTTCCAGCAACTCTGGCCCCGCGCTGCCCGCGCCGCTGACCCAGCCCCGCCGAGACGGGGGCGCGGGACGAGCTGCTCCTCCCCGGGCGCCCCTGGGGCGCCGCCCCCCCCCCACGCCCGCGCTCGCTTGACGGCGGCAGAGAGGGAAGCGCTGGGCGCGACAGACGCAGCATCTGTGCTCCGGGCCCGCGTGCCAACCCTCCAACGGGCGCCGGCGTTCGCGCGGGGGCCGTTCCGCAACGCCTTGCGCAAAGCTTTGGAGCTGATCCGAGAGGGCGAAGCAGACGAGACAGGAGCAGCGAGAGGGTGGAAGCTGTTCCTCCTGCTCCCACGACTGCTCTTGTGGAGAGAGGCGGGGCAGCAAAGGATCCCCAAGGAGCAACTCCTGGAGAGGTTCACCCGCTTCGAGGCTGGAGACTGGGCGCAGCTTCTGACAGAAGCACAGCCGGGCCCGCCGCGCAGGCCGCCCGAGCGAGACGCGAACGGGCAGAGCAGGGCGCCCGAGGCACGACGGGGCCGGGCGCCAGACGAAAACGAGGAGCTCCGCAGCCGCTGCGAGAGGGCCCGCGAGCTGATCCGCCTCGGCGAGGTCTCGGCGGCGCGGCAAGCGCTGACAGCGAGCGCGGTGGCACCAGGCACACAGGCCACTCTGGACGAACTCCGGGACCCGGCACGCCGCCTGCAGCAGCCGAGAGAGCAGCTCAGCGAGCGAGCCGCCCGCGCGCCGCCGCAAGGCCTCGCCAGCCTGGAACCAGACCGCCTCCTCACGAACGTGCGCAGGAGTCGCCGGGGCGCTGCGCCGGGCCCCTCAGGGATGACGGGAGAACACTTGCAGACGCTGCTGGACGACGAGCACTGCTGCGACCTCCTGCACCACGCTGCCACGCTCCTTGCGAGGGCGGAAATCCCTGGCCCCGTGGCAGAGGCCCTCCGGCTCGGCCGCCTCGCGGCGCTGCGCAAGAGCAACGGGAGGGTGCGAGGCATCGTGACTGGCGACGTCTTCAGGCGGCTGGTAGCCCGCACGCTGGCGCAGCAAGTGGGCGAAGAGGTCGAGCAGGCGACTGCCCCCTTCCAGTTCGCACTCTCGACCCGAGCAGTCACGGAATGCGTGGCGCACCTCGTGCAGACTCTCACCCAGGGTGACCCGGCTGCCACAGTGGTTTCCATAGACGGAATCGGGGCATTCGACCTCATGTCCAGAAACTCAATGCTCGAAGGATTAGCAAACCTGGCCAGGGGTAGCGCACTGCTTCCCTTCTGCCGCCTCTTCTACGGGAGAAGGTCGCAGTACTGGTGGCACGACGACGCGGGACAAGGGCAAGCGATCGACCAGGCGGAAGGAGGAGAGCAAGGAGACCCGCTCATGCCAGCCCTGTTTGCCTTGGGACAACACCCCGCCCTGCAACAGGTCCAAGGCATACTCCGGCCCGGGGAGCGCATCTTCGCCTTCCTTGACGACGTGTACTTGGTCACCACGCCAGACAGAGCGAGGTTCCTCTTCAACGCCGTGCGGGACGCCCTCCAAGCGCACTGCGGCATCAGCGTGAACATGGGGAAGACGCGAGTCTGGAACAGAAGAGGGCAGGAGCCACTTGACATCCGAGAGCTGGGCTCAGCAGCAGACCGGGTGTGGGTAGGAGGAGCAGACACCCCGCCGGAAGCCCAGGGCTTGGTCGTTCTGGGGGCCCCAATAGGCCACGGAGCTTTCGTCGCCCAACACCTGGAGGCCATCCTGGAAGAACACCGCCGCTTGCTCGCGAGGATACCACACGTCGGGGACCTGCAATCCTCGTGGCTCCTGCTCAGCCTGTACGCCAACCCCCGGGCCAACTTCTTCCTGAGGGCGCTGGCTCCCGAGGACACGGCCGCCTTCGCCGCAGCGCACGACGACAACCTGGCCAACGCGCTCGCCGACTTGCTGGAACTCCCGCAAGAAGCTGTCGCAGAAGGCACGTCAGCGCGCCAACGCTGCCAACTGCCGCTTTGCCTGGGAGGGCTCGGCCTGCGAAGCGCGTCCAGGACGGCGCCGGCGGCCTGGCGGGCTTCCTGGGCAGACTGCGCGCAGATGCTCCGCGAACGCTGCCCCGAGCTCACAAACCAGATCTGCGCAGCACTGAACGAGCTGGACCGGGGCCCGCTGCCGGCTGCTCCCGGGTGCTTACAACAAGCCAGCAGGGCAAAGGAGCACCTCTCGGCACACGGCTTCGCCGCGCCCAACTGGCACGACCTTGCGCAGGGCGCCCGGCCACCGCCGACGCACGAACGGGAGCACGGCGAATGGGCGCACGGCTGGCAGTTCTGGGCCGCCAGAGTCTTGGAGAACACAGCCCGACAGCAGCTCCTCAACGCCTCCACGCCACTGGACCGCGCCCTCCTCCGGTCACAGAGCGGGCCGTGCGCGGGACGAGCCTTCACCGCGCGCGCTGCCCACGACGGGGGACTTCCACACCCCGCCAGCAGAATTCAGAGTCCTGCTCCTTAGGCGCTTGCGATTTGATCTACCCTTCGCAGCGAGCGCTTGCAGATGCAGAGGCAGACTGGACGCCAGAGGTGACCACAGAGCGGCGTGCCCAAGGGCAGGGGTGCTCAAGAAGAGATCCATCCCATTGGAGAAAGCGGCTGCACGTATCTGCCGCGAGGCCGGGGGCCGAGTCGCAGAGAATCAGCTCCTGCGAGACCTCAACGTGGACGGCGTCGACCCCCGCGACGGGCGCAAGATCGAGGTCATCGCGAACGGCCTGCCGCTCTGGGAGGGAGCGCAGCTGGCGATTGACGCGACCCTGGTGTCGCCAGTCCGCGCCGACGGCACCGCGCAGCCCAGAGCCGCGGACGAGGACGGAGTCCAGCTCGCAGTCGCGCGCGGCCGGAAGGAAGCGACCTAACCTACCCCGAGCTCATCGGGTCAAGGAGATGCCGATTGGTCGTGCTGGGCTTGGAAGTCGGCGGCAGGTGGTCTGAGGAGGCGCTGACCTTCGTCCGGCTGCTCGCCAGGACCAGAGCCCGCAGCGCGCCGCAGCGACTCCGAGCGTCGGCGCGGGCGGCGCACCTACACCGCTGGACAGGCTTGGCCGCGGTCGCGGCCCAGAGGGCGTTCGCGGCCACGCTGCTGGAGTTGCCGCCGCACACCCTGGCCGTCGACGGGGACGAGCCGCACCTCGCCGACCTCCTGGCGGACGCCCGCTACACGGAGACGCCGGCCCCTAGCCGACTGCCGCCGTGTTTCTGATGCGGTGGAACGGGCGCGGCCCCACCCCGGGGGCCCGCCCGCCGGCGCAGCAGGAGGACCAGCAGAACCACGACAACCACTACCACAACTGCGACAACAAGCAGCGGCAGCAGCTGCAGCATAACCGCCACCACCACGCCTACGACCAGCAGCGCCACCACCGCCAGCAAGGCGACCAGCACCACCACCACCACGACGGCGACCAGGGGCAGCACGGCGACCAGCAGCACCACGACAACAACTACCACTACAGCAGCACACAGCAAGCAGCAGCAGCAGCAGCAGCAGCAGCAGCAGCAGCAGCAGCAGAGCAGCAGCAGCAGCAGCACCACCACCACCACCACAACCACTACGACTACCACCAGCAGCGCCACCACAACTTGCACGGCGACCAGCACCACCACCACGACGGCGACCAGGGGCAGCACGGCGACCAACAGAAACACGACAACTACTACCACAACTGCGACAACAAGCACAGCAGCAGCAGCACCACCACCACCACCACCACCACCACCACGACGGCGACAAGGGGCAGCACGGCGACCAGCAGAACCACGACAACTACTACCACAACTGCGACAGCACACGCAGCAGCAGCAGCGGCAGCAGCAGAACCACCACCACAACTACCACGACTACGACCAGCAACGCCACACCCGCCAGCACGGCGACCAGCACCACCATCACCACCACCACCACCACCACCACCACCACCACTACGGCGACCAGGAGCAGCACGGCGACCAGCAGCACCACGACAACCAATGCAACTACAGCGACAACAACAAGCAGCAGCAGCAGCAGCAGCACCACCACCACCACCACCACAACCACTGCGACTACGACCAGCAACGCCCCCACCACCAGCACGGCGACCAGCACCACCACCACCACGACGCCGACCAGGGGCAGCACGGCGACCAGCAGCACCACGACGGCCACTACAACTACAGCGACAACAACAAGCAGGACCACCAGCAGCAGCGACACGACCACCTACCCCGAGCTCGTGGGCCCCCGGCGCAGCTACCTCTGGGCTGCTGGAGCAGAAACGGGCGGACGATGGGACGAGGAAGCGTACAAGTTCCTCGTGGTCTTGGCGCGGGCCTTGGCCAGGGGCGCGCCAGCTGCGCTCCGAGGGTCGCTGACAACGGCGCTGCTGCGCAGGTGGACTGGCATGCTGTCCTGCGCCATTCACGACGCCCTTGCGGCCAGCCTGCTAGAGGACGTGCCCAGCGAGACGCTAGCCACGGACGGAGAAGCACCCTGGCGAGGGGACCTCTTGTCGGCGCTCCCCTGAGGACGCGGGCCCCCGCGCGAGGGGCAGCGGGGGCCGCAGCAGCAGAACCACCACGACAGTGACCAGCACCACCACCACCACCACCACCACCACCACCACCACTACGACTACGACGGCGACAACCAGCACCACCACTACCACGGCCACCAGCAGCGACAACAACGCCAACGTAGCGACGGCTACCAGCAAAAGCACCACCAGCAGCACGACGACGACTGCGACCTCCACCGACGGCAGCGCAGCGACGACCAGCAGCAGCAGCAGCAGCAGCAGCAGCAACAGCAGCAGCAGCAGCAGAACCACCACGACAGCAACCAGCAACGACGCCACCAGCACAACCACTACCACGGCGACCAGCAGCGCGAAGACGGCGACCAGCAGCAGCACCACCACAGCCAGCGCGACGACGACAGCCCGCAGCACCAACGCCCGAGCCCGCGCCAGCACCACCACGACACAGAGCAGCGACGCAGCAGCTACCGCCACCGCGACAACAACCACGAGCACAACGACGGCGACTACCACGACAGAAACCCGCAGCGGAACTGCCACCAGCACCAGCACCGACGCCACCAGCACCACCACCACCACCACCACCACCACCACCACCACCCCACCACGACCACGCCAGCAGAACTGCCACCGGCACCAGCAGCACGGCCCACCACCACGACCCACCACCGCCACCAGCAGCAAGACTGCCACCAGCACCGACACCACCAGCACCACCACCACCACCGCCACCACCACCACCACCACCACCACGGCCGCGACGAGCAGCAGCGCGACGAAGACGGCCAGGAAGGGGCCCAGAATGGAGCGGGGGCCGTAGGTGGCACGGGGCTACCGCGCACCCGCCTGCGGGCCCCACCTCCCGGGCGTGGGACGGGGCTACAGCGCACCCGCCTACGGACCCCACGCCCAAGCACCCCCGCCGCAGCTGCGCCGAGGCGGAGAAGGAGAGAGCGCGGCCGAGAAGCAGAGAAGGAGGCAGCGCGCGCCAGGAGGGCGAGGCAGCTGGCGCTGGGCCGCCTTGCGCCTGGGGCGCTGCTCCGAACCCCGCGGCAGCTGGCGCAGGCCCAGGCGCGGCTGGCGGGCAGGCCAGGCCGCGACAGGCAGACCGCGCCGCGAGCGGCGGGCAGCGGCGGCCGCTGGCGGCAGCGGCGGAGGCGGAGGCAGCCACGCTGGCGGCCGCCTGGCCGACGGCCGCGACGGCGGCGGCGGAAGCTGGGGCAGCGCGGCGGCTGCGGCCTGCAGGCGGCGGCTGAACGAGCCTGCTCGCCACGCCGCGGCAGCGCGGGCGCTCTCTGCGCCAAGGCCCGCCCGCGGCAGGTTCGAGGTCCTCCTGGCTCCGACCGAAAACCTCCCGCTCCTTTGGGGCGTGCCCCCGCCCCGCACTCACCGCGGGCGCGCGGGGAGGGCTCGGACTGGCCGCCGGAGAACGCGGCTGCCTTGGGGTGGGCGGGGGGGGGGGATCTCGCTCTGAAACGGGGCGGCGGCGGCTGGCGGCGCGAAGACCGCGCGGTGGCCGGCGGGCCCGTCGGGCCGCCTCAGGCGACCGCGGGCGTCGGCAGCCCAGCCAGGGGGCCAGCCGGAGGGAGCCGGGTGCAGCGGCCCCTTTCGCTGCGGACTCGGCCAGGGACTGGGACTGGGACTGTGGGGGGGGGGGCTGAGCTGGTGGGCTCGCGGCAGGGCTACCTGCTCGTAGCCGGAGCAGAGACGAGCGGCCGCTGGGACGAGGAGGCGTACAAGCTCCTCGTCACCCTGGCCCGCGCCCAGGCGAGGAGCGCGCCGGCGGCGCTGCGAGGATCGCTTGCGACCGCACTGCTGCACAGGTGGAGCAGCCTGTTGGCGTACGCCATCCACGACGCCCTGGCCGCGAGTCTGCTCGAGGACGTGCCCTCTGAAACGCTAGCGACAGACGGGGAGAATCCCTGGCGAGGGGACGTTCTGTCGGCGCTCCCCTGACAGCACCGGCCTCCGCGCGGGGGCGCGCACGGGCAGAGCGGGGCACAGCAGCTCGCAGGAACGCCGACAGCAGAGCTACTGCGAACAGCACCACAACCACCGCCACCACCACCAGCACAACTACAAACAGCACCTCCACCAGCACGACGACGACCACGACGACCAGGAGGAGGAGGAGGAGAAGGACCACCACGACCAGCACCACCGCGGCCAGCACCACCACGGCGACCAGCACCACCACGACCAGCACCACCGCGGCCAGCACCACCACGGCGACCAGCACCACCACGACCAGCACCACCACGGCGACCTGCGCCACGACTGCGCGCCACCACGGCGACCAGCACCACCACGCCCAGCACCACCACGACCAGGAGGACCACCACGACCACCACCAACACGGCGACCACCACGACCAGCGCGACTACGGCCAGGAGGACCGCCACGACCACCACCACGACCACGGCCAGCAGGACTGCGGCCAGCACGACCAGCACCACTACCAGCACGACCAGCATGACCACGGCCAGAGGACCACCACGACGACCACCACCAAGACCAGCACCACCACGACCACGGCCGACACCACCACAGCGACCGGCACCATCACGGCGGCCAGCACCACCTCGACCAGCACCACCACGACCAGGAGGACCACCACGGCGACCAGCGCCACCACGGCGACCAGCACCACCACGGCACCACCACAGCGACCAGCACCACCACCCCCGCACCACCACGGGCGGACCAGCGCACCACCACGACCGCACCACCACGACCAGACTACCACGACCAGCACCACCACCGACGGACAGCACCACCACGGAGACCAGCACCACCACAGCGACCAGCACACCACACGACCAGCACCACCACGACCAGGAGGACCACCACGACAGCACCACACGGCGTCCAGCTCCACCACGGCGACCAGCACCACCACAGCGACCAGCACCACCACGACCAGCACCACCACGACCAGGAGGACCACCACGACCAGCTCCACCACGGCGACCAGCACCAGCACAGCGACCAGCACCACCACGACCAGGAAGGCTACCACGACCAGCACCACCACGGCGACAGGCACCACCACGACCAGCACCACCACGGCGACCAGCACCACGACTACGCACCACCACAGCGACCAGCACCACCACCAGCAACACCACGACCAGGAGAACCACCACGACCAGCACCACGACCAGCACCACCACGGCGACCACCACCACGACCAGCGCGACCACGGCCAGGAGGACCACCACGACCACCACGACCGGCACCACCACGACCACGGCTAGCACGACCACGGCCCGAACGACCAGCACCACCACCACCACGACCAGCACGACCACGGCCAGAGGACCACCACGACGACCACCACCACCAAGACCAGCACCACCACGACCACGGCCGGCACCACCACAGCGACCGGCACCACCACGGCGGCCAGCACCACCTCGACCAGCACCACCACGACCAGGAGGGCCACCACGGCGACCAGCGCCACCACGGCGACCAGCACCAGCACGGCGACCAGCACCACCACAACCAGCACCACCACGGCGACCGGCACCACCACAGCGACCAGCACCACCACGACCAGCACCACCACCAGGAGGACTACCACGACCAGCACCACCACGGCGACCAGCACCACCACGGCGACCAGCACCACCACCACGACCAGCACCG